ATACGAAGTTTTTCAAAAACTCCATACTCTATATCATTTTCTATAGAATGAACCGACTTCCAAATATTATTGAGGTGCGTTTTGATTGAAAGATTTCCACCCCCATCACCTAAATCTATTTTAGGATATTTCTTAATATTGCTAGCTCCGCTATTTTTGGAAACATCGTCATTTAATATTCTGGGTGTTGGAGGTGCGGGAGGTATATTGTGAAATATTCCGCGATGGCTCTTTTGGTGTTTAATATCTTGGGCACCTGAGAGAATTTTGTTGATTATATTCATAACCTCCTCTTGAGCTAGACCAGGTTTAGATTTCGTTGATTTAGATGAGTTATTTTTACTAGAGCTGACTTTGTTAAAATCTTCATCGATTAACGGAATACTCATACCATCTATTACAATTTTAGCATTCGGATTAAAACACATCTTTACTTCGTGCGCCCATAACCAACCCTGACCCAATACCAGATCAAATGTTGGATTCTTACGAATCTCAAAGTTTATTACATCAGTGTTATCCAAGCTATGGTATGTTCCTTTATATTGGAATTGTAAATCTAAGCAATTTATTTCACCTATTACATCTTTATAGAGGTTTTTAACCGGATCACAAGTTGGTCTTATTCCATGATCCGTTCCAAGCCTATCGAACAAGCTTTTGCTAATAGTATTAAACTTCGACGATGTATCTATTAATGCTTTTACTGGGATTTTTCCCTCTACGAGTGATTCTATGAAAACAATGTCAAATATTATTTAATGATGTATATTATAACTGAAAAAATATCTCGGTAAATAATTAACCATTCTCCACTGCTAAATAAAATTATTTGTAAACCATGCTGAATGATTAGGATTAATTCTGCCAATCTCTCTGATATAATTATCGAATGCAAAAATAAAATCGATATTATGTATCCTAGCTCTGTTATTATCTTGTATCGTGCCACTTATAATCGGGAGAGGTACAGTCCACTATTAATCTTTTGCAAATTTCTCTAATCGCTTCGGTTTTCCATATATTATCTAGATTACAGCAATTTTTAAGATCTTGGATCGGAAGATACTTCGTTATTAATGGTATTAATTCTGGTGGAAGAAGATCAAGTAAATTAGGCATTGCTAATTAGTATATATTGGAAATAACTAATGTTTAGCTAATTAATTTAGGCGCATTTTTAAATTCGTATTTATAAAATAATTTAACATTTACAATGACCGAAGCTGATAAAACCATATCCCACATTACTAAACAGGTATCAGGTAAAAAAATCCGGATCTCTCTTCACCAATTACTGGAAATAGTGAAACCTGAGATTGGGCTAGAGATTATTGACTTAATAGCAAATCCAGATGTTTCTCGAAGAAATCGTACACCATGCAAGGCACCGCCTTCTCGTTCTTTGAACTCGAAGCCAGATTATAGACACTGTGATAATTTGTTTTCTGGAATATATAATCCGACCATGAATGAACAAAGTGAAATGAATTGTCGGGGAAAAAAGAAATTTTTAAATGATACTGCATTTGAATCCTCGTCTTCATCCTCATCTGGGTCTAGTTCTGAATCGTCTAATGATGATGAAGATTTTACTGTAGATGTGGTAAAAGTAAAGAAGCGTGATTAGTTATCATCGTCATAGAGATGGAATGGTCTCGCTTCTTCAGGTTTTTGTCCCCGCTTCCGATAATTTACCACGACGTAGTTTTGTACTGGAGAAGTATGATTATCCGGATTATGACGTAGACATTCTCCAGCAATGGTATAGGCGTGGGCTGGATTCTCAGCTTTATGTACTACTGCACCGTAAACTGCTCCTAATTTACGTAAATATTTAGGAATTAAATTATAATCTTTTAAGAATCTATTGAACCATTTAACACCTGGCCTACCTGGATCACCCATTCGTCCAGATGATATAGCACGCTGAATCCAACTGAGTAGTTCTTTGGCTCGTTCTTGATTCTTTTCCATAGATCTAAATTTTCTAGGAATATCTGGCTGACCTCGATTCTTCGCATAACCTGTCACTCCAGCATCTGTAATGCATAAAGTTTTAAGTTCAGCAGGACGAATACAAAGCATCACCATAACATCAGCAAGAGCCTGATAATCAGGCAAAGTTTTAATATTATACGCATCTAATCTTTCTTTGACTGATTCTAATGTAAATTCATCTGGATAATTGATACGTTTAGTTTCAGCCTTTTTCCGATTGACATTCTGGATTTTGTTGGCATCTTCTGTAATGTCTGGAAATTTCGTAGCCTCAATTATCTCAAGTGATGCATTAAGGTTCCTTAATTCTCTACGAAGACGAGTGAGACGTGATGAGCAAGCATTAGCATTTTTTGCTGATAGGGCTAAGGCATAAGCTTCGGCCCTTACATCTCTAATGCTAAGTTTATCCCGTAAAATCCGTTGCGCCATATCTCCAATAGTTTCTTGTGGGACCCGATTAGAAATAACAATGTTTATACTTTTGGGCTGAACATTTTTCTGGATAGAAAATAAGGCTTCCACTTGATCTTCACTAAAACCATATCTATTCTGTAAGATTCGTTTAGTTATCTCTCTGACGATCTCTTCTTCCAAACTTTTTGGAGGCTTGATCACAGCTATTCTACAATTACCTTCAACTAAATTTATAGTTTTATTTTTCCCGCTTTTCTGATTAGGTATCAATATACTTACCTGCTCATTGCTAAATTTAAAACCATCCCGAAGACGTCTTCGTGCCTGATTCCTTTTTCTATCATCGGTAAGGTTCTCAAGAAATTCTGAGGTATATTTGCTGAGATCGGACACACTCATCTTGGAGCTGAGATTGTATTTTTCAACGATTTTAGTTGTGATGGCTGACATGATCTAATGTTATAGTAGGTCGAGTAGTTTATGAACAATTCTTTAGGTTATATACACTATAAAAAATATTTTTTCAAATCGAAATTAATTATCCGCGGATAGCTATACCCAAAAATTGAATGGGTCGTGGTTATTGTAATTCTATCGGAAAATGGACGCGAACAAGACACGAGTTCGATCAGACACAAAGTGCCATTTCTCCCGAAATAAAGTCTTGGAATCTATAGCTCTACATAATAAAATTACTAAAAATATAGAAGGCATCAAAGATGATATAGCATTACTCAAAGAGGTCCTGGAAAAAATTATCAATATACACATATGCCAGGTATATGATTATACTTCATGCATAGAATCGGGGAAGTCAGATATATGATTCTCAAACAAAGCAATTTGTATACGCAATTCATCCTGCTTTTTTCTGTCATAATTCTCTTTACTTTTATATTTGCCTACATGTTTATAGCATGCATTGTATTTAGACCTATTTGACTCACCACAAT